CAAGTCCCAGCTGGGGATTCCTTATCACACGACATATGTAGAACTTAATCTTGCATATATCAACCTCGCTATCGGATCGTCCTATACTAAGCCATCTCCACGCCACCCGAGAGCACAGCACACCTCCAATCCGGCCACATTCCAGCCATGAGGGTACACGCTACTCTCGCCATCTCTCTACTCCCAGTGCGTGGGCATTCATCTTAGTATCGGATTAGCCGAAGTAGGCTTACCGGAGTATGTGACCAGTACTACAAAGTGTCTCGTTCAGAAGATCCACAATGAGTGGCCTTTAAGCGACATAGTCGGCAACATTACCCAACATTCAAGATAAGTCACCCAACTAGTCTCTAGTTCATTCTATCTTCTTTCTTTCTTTGGCAAGTATGCCATCTTTGATTGTATTGAAACTTTTACTTTGAAAGCCTACCATAAAGCATACTAAGCAATTCTACGCCTTTGTAGATGAAATCATCTTCAAGGATGGTAAACAATTAACAAGGTAGGCAATGCATCAAGTAGGTAACATTTGAATTAAACAACTTAATGCAATAAGTAACATAGGTGATAAACTTTTCAAAGTAAACAAGGTAATGGTTTAATGCATAAACCGGGGCTTGCCTTCGTTGGCGATCTCAAGTTCCGGATCAGTACCACCAATATCGAATCCCGAGACAACCGAGGATTCTTCCACAACTTGCTCAACTAGAATCGGTTCACTCTCGGATTCTACATGAAATAATAACATATGCTTCAACATGATGATAATGTAAACATGATGCTTTCATGGTGCATGAAATATAATTACACCTTGAATACAACTTTCCTTCGCGGTACAGTTGCAAACCAACAAAACTAACTTGCAATTCTACCATCAAGGACCACGCAAGTGACTTGACCAAATTGACCTTGAAACCCTACTGGTCACAAAACATGACCAAAACAAGATCAAACCCTAAACTATCACTTAGGGTTTGCTTTTATCCATTTTTGAATTAATTGGGAATTAAGCTCAAAAATAGAATTGTTCCAAATGACCTCAAAATTTTATGCAACTTCCTCATGACAAGTTAGTGTACCAAAACAAATCTCAAAATTTTTAGAGTTATACAGTGGCCTACAAAAATTATGGAAATTGCATTTATCAATTAATTGCCTAAATTTTTGAACATTAAAAATTTATTCAAATCTCAAGTTTCATATTTTTCCTAAATAATAGAACATGTATAGAAGCTACACACAAATTTTCAAAATTTTTGGAGCTATAATTATTTTCCTATAATTTTCCAAAGTTGCTACACTATTCAAAAACCAGAAAATACAAAACCTCATTGTTCTCTCCTTGGGCCCGTTCGTCAGCGACACAAACAGAGGACACGGCGGCGCTGCCATCACCGGTCGGCCAAAACACGCCGACGACGAGACTCCGGCGAGACGAATAGCACAAACATGATCTACCATGTCCCGCGAACCTAACCCGACCCTCAGAACAGTTTCTGATGCATCGGAGGAAGCTCTACGTCAGCCATGGCGGCCACGGCGGCGCGGGCACGGCGGCGCACGGTACAACGTCGGCTACAGCGCGGGAGAGAGTAAAACGGAGAGAACATCACGCTCAGGAGCTCACCGCGAACACGACGGTGTGCTTGGTGAAGGCGAAGACGGGCGGGAGCGTCCTGGCCACGGCGAGGTCAGTGATGGCGGTGCTTCGACCGGCTTCGAGGAAGAAGACGTCGTGCGGTGGCGCTGGACTGCTAGAGGCGAGGCTAGCGGGCCTGGAAGGAGAGGCAGGTCGAGGCGGAGGCACTGGTAAGCGCAATTGGCATGAGGTACTACGGTGAGGATGAATTTCGTGAGCACGGCAAAGTCACCGGCGGCGAGCAGACGAGAAGAAAAGAAAAACGACGGCGGCGGTGCTCCTATTTATAGAAGGAGAGGGCGCCTCCAGCTTCGCCAGCTCCCGAACGAGGTCGCCACGGAGACAAAGACGTGTCACCGCGCGAGGAAGCGGTGAAGACGATCGGCGGCGGCAGCTCGGTGGTGAGCAGGCGGTGGCGCTCTGCTGTCAACGAAATTTTTGGAATATTTACAGAATTGCCACTGAGTCCATTTTACAAATTACTCCCAAAATTTCTAAAGAAGTTGAAAATCTCCAAAAATAAAAGTTGCTCAACTTTTCAAACTCTACAAATTTGCTTAAATGAACATTTTCAAATTCTGCTTCCATTTTGAAATTTGAATTTGGGGTGCATTTGAGCATTTGAATCATTTCAAAATTACTCCAAATTTTATATGTAAACTTTAAAAACTTTGTATACCAAAGTTGATCCTTATAAAATAAGCTTCAACTTTGCTTTTTGTCACACCCCCAAATTTCAAATGGATTTTGAAATAGACAAAAGGGGCAAAGAGGACTTTTATAATTGGAATTTGAATTAAAATTTGATTTGTTTACCTTTTTACTTAACTTTGATTTTTTACCAGTAACATGGCCCATTAGAGTTATTTGAGTCAAATGACACATGGTCTCACATGATCACATGAAATCTGACCCTTGTGGTAATGATTTTCATTCAGAGTTTTGAATCACATTTCAACACATAAAATAACAACTATGAAATAAAACTTATTTAGTGAATGCATTCAAAATTTCCTACTTTATGAATGCTTGGCAATGCATATAATGACATATCAAGTTTTAATGCGAGGTTAAAACACCAGAGGTGTTACACCTACTTACTATATGTGTACGTTAAAGCTTCCCAAGGCTGCGATTGAGTCCATTGATAAATTCAGGAAAAATTGTTTATGGAGGGGTTCAGACATCAATGCAAAAGGATATAATTTGGCTGCTTGGGATATTGTAACTAAGCCAAAGGATGAAGGTGGTTTAGGAGTCAAGAATCTGCACCTGCAGAAAGATGCACTACTGATCAAACATCTACACAAGTTCTATAACAAAGTTGATATCCCTTAGGCACACTTGATTTGGTGTTCTTACTATCAACTTAAAGTCCCTCATCTATCCCTAGCTCGAGGATCCTTTTGGTGGTATGATATACTTTGACTGAGTCAGCAATTCAGAGGAGCATGGCAACCGCTGGTAAAGGGGATAGTGTTAGCCTTTGGGAAGATTGCTATGCTGGACAACCGCTCTCCCGGCAATTCCCTACACTTTGCACCTATGCCTTTGATAAACGGTTATCGCTTCAAAAAGCTATCACCAGTGATAACTTGGTTAGTTTGTTCAGACTGCTAATGTACCGGGTAGCCTACAATGAATATCTAGACTTCAGTCATGCCATGGAGCCTTTCAGATCGAATCAAGATGAAACAGATATATGGATGTACATTTGCAACAACAGTTCTTATGCATCTAGCAAATTTTACAGACGCCACTTTGCCTCGATCACCCCACCTACCCCATTCCTTTGGATCTAGAAATCAAAATGTATGCCTCAGTTAAAATTCTTTGCTTGGCTCCTCCTTGTTGATAGACTCAACACCCGGAGTGTTCTTTGAAGACGTCATAAACACCCGAAAGAGGGATATAACTGTGTCATGTGCCAAAACAACGTTGAAGAGATGGCCATGCATCTCTTCTTTGAATGCCCTGCAAGTGTAACTCGATGGTTCACAGTCAACATTCAATGGAATGTACAAGGTAGCCTCCACCATATGCTAATTCAGTAGAGGGCCTATTTCAACTCTCCCTATTTCATCAACATTGTGAGACTTGTTGCTTGGAGCATATGGAAGGAGAGAAATGAATACATCTTCAATGGCAAGGCACCCTCAGTTGCAGCATGGAAAGCAATTTTCAGAAGTGAGGTTAAACTTCACCTAGCTCCCCCCCAATGATCGTTATGTAATATGAATTGGCTTGCACTTTGTAATTCTCTTCCCTTTTTGTGTGGGGGCTGCGACTGCTTCGTAGCCATTTCTGTTTGGCTTGGCCCTGCGTGGCCTTTTCTATCTTTTTGGTAAGCTCGAGTACTCATTTTATTAGCATCTACTCCATCCGTCTCAAAATAAGTGTCGTTTTGGGTTCCGTGCCGATCAAACATTATTAACTTTAACTAGATTTATAGAAAATATTAGCATCATTTATATCTTTAAATAAGTTTATTATGAAAATAGATTCAATGTCTATCTAAAAATACTAATTATGTATTATAAATATTTGGTCAAAGTTAAAAGAGTCTGACGTTTCGAAAAGCGAAAATAACACTTATTCTAGAACGGATGGAGTAGCTAACTATACTCACTTCTCTTCTTTCGGTGGTATTACAGTGCTACGGGAGCAAGCTCCGTAGTTTTTCTTAAAAAAATGTATGTGTATGTTTACTTTGCCCTCAATTCTAAATTATAAGATGTTTTTGTATTTCTAGATTCATTGCTCTTAGTATGTATTTAGACATAGTGTACATATAAGTGTATAAAAATATATATAGGAAAACCAAAATATTTTATAATTTTAAACGGGCTTTAGTTATTGAAAAAAAAATATTCGTCACGTATGAATGAGCTGAGGCGAAATTCAAATTGTTGTAGGTCCAGTTTAGATTCGAAAATTTTAGCAAAATGCAACTGTAGCGCTTTTCGTTGTTATTTAGCAATTAGTGTCCAATCATAGTCTAATTAGGCTTAAAAGATTTGTCTCGTGGATTTCGTCTAAACTGTATAATTAGTTTTATTTTTATTTATATTTAAAGTTTCATATATATACGTCTAAAATTTTAATGTGATAAAGAATCTTAAAAAATTTAACGTTTTGAAGGGGAACTAAACATGCCCTAGCAGATGTAAGGCGCCGTGTCGTGTCAGGCCCGGCAGGGGAAAAGGGGAAATGGGAAAAGCCCAAACCGAGGAGACAAGTCAATCAGAGCTGACCCACCGAGGCCGGAGGAACCAGGCGACAGAAGGGAAAGGGGGAGCCACCGGACCGCACCGCCACCTTCCCTTCTCCCGGCGACCTCCAGGCTCCAGCCACGGCGCCCATGGCGTCGGCGAAGCTGCTCTACATTGTGGTGGTTGACGACAACGCCTCCTCCTTCCGATACACACGCTCCCTCCTCCACAGCACCCTCCAGCTCATGGGATGCAAGCCACGCCACGCCTTCGAGGTCCGGCCCTCTGCCTCTTCGCCTTCGATGCCGATTTCCCCGGACCTCCCATCTTCCATGTGCTTTTGTCTGATTGGATCCTCCGTTCCATCTTTACTCTTGTAGATCAGCCGCAGGGTGTTCGATGTCATCCGGGGTGACCACCAGGGCCACGGCGACACGCCGCCTCCGCCCGGGTGCAGAGGTACGAGGTCGCCGAAGCCACCCCGACCACAAGCCCCCGCCAGTTCCAGTTCGAGCTATACAAGCGCCGGACCACCGTCCTCCTCCCCAGGGAACTCTTCCTCGACCTCGTCCTCGACGCCCTCGCCCTCTACAAGTATGTCGCCCCCAATCAGCGCGCCGATCTCATGCTCGCCTGCAGGTCCGTCCGCCGCACTCTCTTACTCTCTCTCGTCCCCCTTTCTTCCCCTTCTCCCTTCTGCCACTGCAACTCAACTGTCTCCTTACCCGTCTGTTTGTAATTGCCGAGAAAATAATTAAAAAAAAATCCCTCATTTTGCGGCAATCTGTTGTTTCGTCGCCGTTCATGCTTATTACGTCGTTGTGAAACATTCAGCAGCTCATATATAATATAATCGGATTTGTGAATGTGATGCTCAGGACAGATAGTTCTGAACACGGCAGCATGGTGAGTTTACTTAGCATAATTAATATTAATGTTACTCTTTGAAAGGGATGACTATGCAAACTATGACTATTTGCTGATTGAACGAGATTCAAATTGTCTCATTGCAATTGCTATAGGGGCTAATGCCCATAACTGATTTCCATACTTGTGTTGTCACTGATGTAGACTGCACTTAACTTTTTCAGAACCAAAAGCATTCTAGTGCCTCCAGATTGACCACATATATTTCAACGGGAACTTTTAAAGGTATTCATTGTATCATTCTCCCTGTCACTTATATTCTTTCATCTTGCCTTAGGATTCGTGAACGAAAGGAATCTGTCACAGTTCTTTGCAGAACTAGTGGCTGTGGCAAGTCTACTCTTTCTACGCTGCTGGTAATAATTTTAATTTTCCCTACCTCCTTACTTTCTTGTATGCCCTTTTGCTCCTCATCCTCCATTAGAACTTGTCTTGGACCTATTCAGGCAAGGAACATTGCTGTGAGAATGTAACAATAGACTGGAGATGCAGATGAAGTACATACTGTATTATTACTACATGGAAGTCTGTGGCACCAGGATAGAACAAAGCAATGTTATTAGCGAATTAAGTTCCCCCTTGATTGGTTTTGTTTTTTTCGCGAATCTTCCTCCATAGCTGGTATTGGAAAGACTTAGGAATAGTAAATTATGTTCTTTCCAAAACTAGATTATGCCCACTGCACTTGTGGGCAAATTTTAGCTTCATTTTTTCCCTAGTTTCTTCCTTACAGAGATGTTAATGTCTCAACAGGGAAGCAGGTTAGGAATTACAACTGTAGTTTCCACAGATTCGATACGTCACATGATGCGAAGCTTTGTTGAAGAGAAAGAAAACCCTCTTCTCTGGGCATCAACTTATCACGCAGGTGAATGTCTTGACCCAGTAGCAGTTGCTGAAGCAAAATCTAGGAGGAAAGCAAAAAAACGCTCAGGCGTATCAAGCAGCTCAAATATTGATTATGAGAAAAGTGGGGCTCTTACCGAAAAAGTTGATGGGAAATCAATTGGGAAGAAGCAAATGGCCATTGAAGGTTATAAAGCACAGAGCGAGATGGTAATTGATAGTTTGGATCGGTTAATTATTGCGTGGTAAGATAGGAAAGAATCAGTTGTTGTCGAGGGTGTTCACTTAAGCCTTAATTTTGTGGTATGTGCTTCCAGAAAACTATTCATTTGCACTTCTTTCCTTTCATTCCAGCTATTGATTTTTTTTAGATCGTATCAGACCCACTATATTGCATTTCTTCTGCTAACAAAGGTGGAGTTGTAACTTTCATGGTTAACATGCCCACTTTATTCCACATTTCCTTTTAATTATTTCAGATGGGTCTAATGAGGAAACATCCTTCGATAATACCTTTCATGATTTACATATCTAATGAGGGTAAGCACACAGAGAGGTTTGCTGTACGTGCAAAGTACATGACACTTGACCCAACGAAAAATAAGTATGTTAAATACATCAGCAACATTAGAACTATCCAGGAGTACCTCTGCAGCAGAGCTGACAAGTACCTAGTTCCCAAGGTCAACAACACTAATGTTGATCGGAGTGTGGCTTCGATCCATGCCACTGTCTTTAGCTGCCTCCGTAGGCGAGGTAACGGAGATCAGTTATACGATCCTGAAGTAAATACTGTTGCTATTGTAAATGAAGAGTACAAAAACCAATGCGTCGCTAATTCCATGAGTTCCAAGGGGATGTTTAAATTGATCCAACGGCTTGGATCCTCAAGAAAGCTCATGGCTATCATTAATGTCGACGGTTCTGTTTCTAAGGCCTGGCCAGTTGAGTCCAGTGGAGGAGATGGAAAATGCAGTTCTGAACTTCTGATAACAGTAATAAGAAATCTGTGGGGAATCCAATTTATGGACCTCTAAATATTGGAAGAGCAGAGTCAGTCAATCTGCAGTTTGGCACCTTTGGGATAAGTGCCTGGCCTACTGATCCGGGCTTGTACAAGTCAAGCTGGAAATGCTGATGAATCATTTACAAATGCTGCTGAAGGTAGTAGCAGACATGTTCTATCTTCATCTGGTTCTCCAAAGAAGTCAGATGGACATTGTAAAGAGGTACTAACAGCTACCTGTACCATGGCTGTGCTGTTTCGTCTTTCTTTTCTGATCAATGTTCTTTGTAAGGCTAGTGTCCTATTTTGAATTTTCTTTAATACTTTTTGGGGCTATATCCAAGAGTCATCAGCAGCATATGGCAGCGATGAAGAAGAGGAAGAAGAAGCTGATGTTCGGCCTAATTCAGGGAGTGATGAGGACCTAAGTGAAGAAGACAACAGGGAGATCGATGGGGAGGTGAGATGAAATCTTTATTTGGATTGTTATGGCCTTTTTGTTTTTTGATCCTAAACAGTAGGTAAAAGGATTCACGCATGCAGTTGCTTCACTGTACTCTTTGCTCTGGATCCCATTGTAATCATATTTGTGGATACTTGCATGGCAGATGGAAGGATCTGTCGACGAGGACTGCAACAGATCTGATGAGGAATACGATGACCTGGCCATGCGGGACAGTCTGGAGAACGGCTATTTAACTGACGATGGCGTCTTTCATTCTGGTTTAAGCAAATCTTCAAGCGGCAAGTTCTTTGGTAGCAATCAGCGAAGCCACAGCACGCCAAAGAAACACCAAGAAAGTGTTGGTGTTCCTGAGACAGCACGCTCTTCTGCTGCTGCAGTTCCTGCTGGTACAAGCAGCAAGCGGCATGCCGCTAGAAAGTGGAAGCGCTCGCTGAGTGACTCATTCCGTTCTCGGCCACGGAGTGCGCCGGAGTTGGTCTCAGTATGCAAGGGATCACTGCCCGTGCATGTGGCTCCCGATGAGGTAGCCAATGAGCTGCACAAGACGTACTGTGTCATGTTTTTTTAGCATAAATTGCAAAGGGAAATACGGATATTATTATCTGAGGCATCAAGAATGTGAAAAAGGTACTATGCTATTGATTTTTTTTTTTTTTGGGGATGAAGTAGTCCATCACCATCTCACTTTTTAGCTCCTTTTTTGTGGATGAGTTGATCCATAGCCATTTCATCACCTTTTTTTTTCATAAGCCAATAGTTAGTACTAGCACAGGGAATGAGGTTATTTCACTGAATTCGACAAATGAACTCATGATATATTATCTCATTTGGGTTAATTCTCCAAACCAAACACTCTTAAGTTTGTCAGCGGAGCGAGCGGAACGGATTCCACCCCTCATTAACCGGTTCCTCGTAGAGGGAATAATGACTTTTTAAGGTCGCCACGATAGGATTTTGGAGACTACGAAGTGCTTCCGGTACACTTCTGCACACAGGAGCTATATCAAAAGCCATACAACTTTGTTTATTACCTTTATATAAAATGACATTCTTATACATGTTTTAAACCTTACCATAGGCCATTATATTGCATACCGATCGGCGGAGCGGCGGGGTGGTCCCTGTCCTGAAGGTCAATATCTAGCAAATTTTGGTTTATCGACGGCGACTTCTTATATTCATGTATTGAATTGACTGCTCCTTGCTTCGTCTGCAGGTGACCTGTTCCTGCCTAGTACTATCGCTTTCTCGTATTCACGCAGTCACGTTTGCGTGTGTCCCTGTGCAATTCTGAGTTGCCCGTCCTCTTTTTATGAAAAAATGTAATTCTAGCATAGTGTTATGTTTTAGTATTTTATAAATTTAACCAATTATAGATAAAGAATATTAATATTTATGATATCAAATAATATCATTAGATTAATTACGAAATGTATTCTCATAATAAATTAATTTGAAGTCATAAATGTAAATATCATTCATTAGAACAGAGGGAGTAACTCGTAGTCACCAAGAGTCCGAGACTAAACCACCGAGGGACTGACTGACAGTGATAGTGCATGCCGGCTAGAGGTACATCTTGAACTCTTTTATCTCTCCTTTGCTGGTTTTATCATGCTCGTATTTTGCAGAGGCGGATCTAGGATTTTTGCTTAGGGTATGCCACCGTAATTTTCTCATACAATTTGGTATAATCCAAATAGGATTTTATTTGCTGGTACGTGAGTATGTGACAAATAAAAGTGCATCAACTGAACAAGCCCAAGATACAGTAGACTTCAGACCAAGCTGGGCAGAGCCAGAGTCACCGGCTGGGAGGAAGGAAATCGGTGGGAAGGAGAGGGGCGGCGGGTAAGCCCTGGGGAAAGGGGTAGCGGGATAAGCGGTCGGCGGATTCGGATCATAGAAACGGATGGTGGTCGAATAAAGAGGATAAGTTGAAACAGGGAGGGAGAAAGGAAATAAATAAAGGAAGAAAAAAGGAAGAAAGAAAAAAGAGATGGGTATTTTAGTCATTTTATCATTTTTATCTACTAGGAGAAGAGTGTTCATCCAAACATTTTACTAAAATAGCTTTAGCTACACTATTAGAGCTAAAGCTAAAAAAAAAATCTTCTTCGCCGGTGAAACATATATTTACCAAACAGTCCTTCCCCGTCTCAAGCTCTTTATCTCTTCTTTACAAATTCACCATGCTCACAACTCCAATTCACTAGTGGAACTGTGTTTTTTTTTTTGCTTTAGATCCACGAACAACTTCACCGGTGGAGCTAGAGCCGTTTTGATGTATAGTTTGGCAAAACAACTTCACCTGTTTTATCGTGCATGGCTAAGAGAAGTCAGTTGTCTAAGATGCCCCTATCTATCTGACTTGTAACAACTAAAGTTGTATGTTTGTACTGTATATGGTTTTTTATTGGAATGCATTTGAATTTAAAAACAAAAAATTTAAAAAAATACAAAGTAGAAGCAAGCAATATTTGTTTACATAGTATAGTGATGACCCATTAATGAATGTAGACATGTCAACAACACGTATCCGCCTTCTAAACTTTAGTCCATGTCACATCGAATGTTTGACACATGTATGGAGTACTAAATATAAACTAATTACGAAACTAAATACACAGATTGAGACTAATTTACGAGATGAATTTTTTAAGTCTAATTAGTCCATGATTTGACAATGTGGTGTATAGTAAATATGTGTTAATGACAGATTAATTATGCTTAATAAATTCGATTTCGCGGATTACCGAGAATTTCTGTAATTTATTTTATTATTACCATCCGAATAGTCGATATCACACTCCATATGGCATTCTACGTGACCCTGAACTTCAGTACGTGTACCAGATGCGCCTAGGGGATGCATCGGCGACCTCCTGACCCTTCTCCCCACTGGCACCCAGAGTGATTGCACGGAGCGCACAGTACACAGACTGAGAAGCCTTCTTGAAGATGGTGTCATCGGTCTGGAGGCTTTTAAGGAAGACCTAGTCAATATTTCCTTTCTAGTATCCATCATTTTATGATCTGACGAGCTCCTTGAGGTTGATGAATACATCATGGCCTGAATGATTTTCTCAGTGCCAACATCTAGAAAGTTGTCTAGTAGCCTTGTGAGGACGTTGAAAAGTTCCAAAGTCACATTCTCCAGCTTAGGAGTAATCTTTGGGTTCTCACTCACTAAGACCTGATGCAAGACAAGCTTGCCGTAAACAACAGAAAAATAAGGTAATTGGATTTGGTCATTCCATTCTAGCAGATTACGATGGTATTACAACAACATGATAAAGAAACATGGAATGATGAGATAATGATTCACCTTGTCGCTATCACAATCACTTGTTGAAAAATTAACTCTGAACAGATCGCAGCCTCAACCAATTGAGCATAAATGTCCCAGGAACTGATTGCCTTTGTAGACCCTCCATGCTGCTGATGAGCTGTAATAATCCAATTGTGGCAGAACCACCCAAATTATATGGTCCACATGTGCCTGTCATTGTCTCACAGACTTTTGACTATTGCACACGTAAGCCACACAATCCCGGTAGTCTATCGGGTGTCCTCGGGAAACCCGAATCATCCTCTTTTTCTTTCTGAGCAAGACACATTACATTGCAGTATTACAACAGTTTATACAAATATATTACATCAGAGTAAATAGCGGAAGTCTTATAAACCATAAGTTTACAATCGTTCATTAAGTTATTACAAAACATAATCTTTAGCCTGCAAGGCAGTAGGGTAGCATGACGGGTACTACTCTAACAACACACAAGAGAGATTCACCCTGCCCAAAGGTGCACAACAAACTCTTCTACTGCTGGATCTCCTCCTGCAACAAGGGTTTAACAAACCCTGAGTACAAAGATACTCAATAAGACTTAACCGACGACAATAAAAGACTCCAAAGATATGCAGGCTTACGGAGAATCCAGGTAAGTCTGAAGAAAGAATCAAGATTAACTTTTGCAGAAAAGCTTACTAATGATTGATGATCCTCATTTTCAATATTTTAGCTCAAGTTAAATAATTATAAGTCTCCAGTTTGCACCTGATCTAAATCAATCATTTCTTTAACCATCTCATTTCATGATCACAAGTACCATTGTTTCATTAATTAACTACGATGCAGGGAGAGGATCGAGTCTCCATAACCAAGGAGCACGATGATTCGAATCGATTAGGTCCAGCTAGGGTTTCCTTACCACATGACATATGCAGATCCCAGTCTCGGATTTACATATATCAACCTTCACTCGGATCCTCAAAACGTGAACCAATTTGCGCTACCCGAGAGCACAGTACTCCACCTCCCTCCGCCACTCCCGGTGGATTCACAGGATGCGTACACGCTACTCTCACCATCTCCCACATCCAGTGCGCAGTTGTCTTTTCACATAATGGAATAGCCGAGGTATCAGACTTACCGGAGTATGTGGCCAGTACTGTAAGGTCTCAAACACATACAAGCCTACAATGAACGGTCCTTAATCGATACAAGTAGGACACTACGTCAAGACTCCATTCTTGACGTAAGCAAAGAGTCCGTCTGGTCTTAAATTAAATTCATGATCATCATTAAAATCTCAGGACCAACCCTGAGTATAGAACCATTAACTCATTACTCATCTCTTATCAACTAAGCATGGCTAAGCATCATACAACTACCATACTAATAGGGTGACAAGGATGTATATTGAAAACACAAGGCAGGCATGCAGCAATTGGTATTCAACCAACTCCTATTTACTTAAATGCAACAAGCATAAGACTTATGTGAATAACATTTGTAAAACACAAGGAAGGGGTTATGCTCAGGGACTTGCTTTCAGTGTCGGGGTTGTCGGTCACTTCCGTAAACCACAGAAAAGATAACCAACTCCCGCTGACAAGAAATCCACTTCTAGGGCTGGCTTAACAACGGAAATCCACTCTCGATCACTAAACGTAAGTAAACATGCATGCTTTAGAATAATGAGATGCTAAGCATGGAGTATGATGATCTATCAAGATTAAACAACTTGAGTACAACTTTCCTTCACTAAATAATTAGGTTAATTACTCACAAAGCAACATTGTTATTATTATTAACAAGTTAAGTATGAGTACACAATCATGTAATGTAATTGCCAAGAAACAACAATGGTTTAGTGTTCTAAGGTCCACAATCAACTTCAAAATCACATTAAACCATTTAATGATTTAAATAAATCATTTTGGTACTTTTATTAGTGCATAAAAGGCATTTGAATTAAGAGGATAATTTATTTTTATCAAAACAGAGCCAAACTTTTTGTGAAGGCAGTTTTAAGCATAAAAAGCATATATACAAAGTTTCATGATTTTAGGATAAATATTTTAGCCTATAAAAATCATGGAAGGTCTATTTATTAATTAAAAGATGTAATTTTTTGAACCTAGCAAAATTACTGATTTGGCAAACTCATATTTGTCTATGATTAAGCATATGATAACAAGCTTACACAAAAATTTTCATAATTTTATCAGCTCTGATTAATTAGTTATGAATTAAACAAGATTCAGCTCATTTTAACA